CACACTTAATCTTACTGAAAAAGAAAATAATATAATTATGTTAAAACGTTAGGATTTATTATATTTTTCTTATGACTATTTATAATATAATTTATATAATTTTATCATATATTTAATAATTTATTCTATTTAATTTTATAAAATAATATTTTTATTTTTAAAAATTATTAAAATACAGAACTTAAATATAGCGTAACACGGTGTCTGTGTAACTAGTATATATATACCTGAAAGAGCAACCATATCTGTAGTAGTAAAACCTTTGTTTGAGAAGGCAGAAATGAGGTCACTAAGATCCATGAATGGGGATGGCAGCTCACTGTTTGCACTGCTTAAGCTTGCAGTAGTTGAGTCTCTTCTCCCTAATTGAACTGTCCATGTTGGCCCACCCAACTAAAATCCCAATAAAAAAAAAAATACATACATATATATTACCAACCGAGGAGGAAAATAAAATCAAACCATTAATATCATCTATACATAACATCAACACATTATTATCAACAAATTGCAAATTGTACAATTTTTTCTTTTTCTTTTACTTTCCTTCTTTTTTTTTTCGTTGGAGAAAAGTTCAATTTTTTCTTTGTACAAAAGTAGTATTTGTGAATTTTATTTATTTTTTAAATGAAGACGTAGCCAATATTTTCATGGTCAATAATTTTCAAAGTAAAATGAAAAGAAAAGAAAAATGATATAGAAGTATGCTTACAAATACAACAGAATCGCGAGCAGCAATAGCTAAAATATCAGCACAAGAGACAACTCCAGGACAGATACTCTCGAGTTCAGATTTAATGGAATCAATAACATCAAATCCTCTCAATGAATCTTTATTTGGGCCTGCTGTCTTCTCCCCAGTAAAACTTGCAGTGTCATCTAACAGTACAGATGCATCACATCCCTGTAGGAGGAGGAGCCATACACCATGTTACCCCCAGAAAAATGATAAATCCTATTATTTCCATTGCATTAAAAATATATAAAATATAAAATAAAAAACATGGAGAAACAGAAATATAACCAAGTGGGTTTAACAAATTGGAGTAAGTTTAGTTGGTTAGAATTTTTACAACTTACTAGGAAGGGTTCAAGTATTGCGTAGGATCCAAATTCCCTAGGCTAGGAACTTCAACTAAGCCTATTAAAAAAGAACTACTCAAACTCAACGTATACTCGGTTCTTTAAAATTCATTTGAAATCGATTTGTTACGTAAACAAGTTAAATTTATCAAAATTGAATATAATTTTAAACTTATTAAATTTTCAAATTAAGCTTGAACCTACTATGCAGCTCAATAATTTATATACACTATAAAAAATTAAGCTACTGGAGCTCGACTCGTGTTTGACTCATTAAAAACTCATTTAATATCAGCTCGTTATGTAAATATGTCAAGTTTGAACATAATTTTAAACTCGTTAAATTATCAAACTAAGATTAAATAATTTATTACTCGGCTCATTTTCAGCGCTAGGTTCACTGTACTAAGAAATTTATGCAAGCACTTTTTCATGAAAAAAAGGAGGGAGTTGAACTCTTATGTTAATAATCCTTTCAGGCTAAAAACATATAATACTGGGTAAACTAACAATTATATACATAGAAGCATTGCATGATGATGATGTGGATCTTTCAAATAAACAATCTTCATGCCTCATGTAACTTCATATAAGAGTACTTAATGCTAGTAAATGCATACAATCTTTTGAGGACTTTTTCATTATAATAAACTAATTGACCAAACTTATGTTTTTTTTGTGTGTGTAAAATTGTACATATTTCATGCAGTTCCTACAATCAGGCGGATCCCCTCTAGTCCAAAATCTGGACTGGAGGGCGTTGTTTAGGCCCATGGGACTCATCTCGAGTTTCGTTTCGATAATCTGAATTATTTATTTTGTCGAACACTTCATGTATTTAATTCACACAAAAAAAATTGAAGTCGATCGGATAAACGTAACCTATTTAATTTAAAACGCTTGTCACAAAAAAAAAAAATTTAATAGATGGCAATTGTACTTTTAAAAATAAATCATATGTGTTTTTGTTGATAAATGCAATAAATTGAATAAGTTATAATTATCAGATTGACCTAATTTTATGTATGAATAAAATACACGAAATGCATAACAAAATGAACAATTCAGATTATCAAAACAATGCCAGAGATGAGCCCTACGGGCCTAAAAGGTGCCCTGCAGTCCAGATTTTAGACTGAAGGTATCTGCCTCCTTGAATAAACATATATTATAGTTAAAAATTGAATGAACTGTTGCTACTTCCCTATGGGCAATCAAGTGACATGATAATAGCTTGTTAATTAACAGTGGATAATCCTAAGCCAGCCAAGATGCTACGCTAACTTGTAATTATAAATAGTAAAGCTTCGTGGACAGATAAATTTGAGCCATACAGTGATCCTTTTTTGCATATTTTTACATGCTTGTAGCACTACAGAATTCTAAACGTTTAGCGCATGCTTACATGCATAAGAGATCTTAAGAGTTAATCTAATAAATAACAATTAACTTTTGCTAGAGAGATACAGCGAGAGAGAGAGAGAGAGCATGCATTGACAAAGCAGTCGTGGAAATGAAGACGGAGCAGGGAAGCGCCCATGCGATGCTCCTTGAAGACTGCATTATTCACCACACTTTGAATGGTTGAGAGAGCTCTTGGGCAGCTCGATGCATAGTAATTTGAGGACAATTGTGCAGAGGCCATTCCATTTCCAAACACAAACAAAAACAAAAACATAGAGGAACACAAACTACAATGATAGTAATAGTATGAATTATTAGATCCCATGACCATCTTAAAAGAGTTGTAAAATATTAATGGCTAGGTTTAGTTTTTGTTGTCTTTAGCAAAGCTTAAGGAGATGCATGCATATATATATTTATAGATGCTTTCCTAGTTGAATTGTTTGACATTTTTGTCAATGTCTATAGGTCCAACTTGCAAGCCACTGCTTAAAAAACTGACTAAAAAGAAAGTGGAAGAAAATTAGGAGAGAAAGCAACTTCTGTAGTTTGATTCTTTGATTTTTTTTTTTTTTGGATTCAACTTAGTTTGATTCTTTAATAAAAAAAAATTTAAGTGCTCAAAATTTGATCATAAAATCGGACATGACTATTTTACATGAGATGAAACTTATTAAATGTGTGATTTCATCCAATATGACAGTGTTGTGTTCGTTTTTGTAATCAAATTTTATGTACGTAAAACAATTTCTTTAATTCAAGACAAGTACTTTTTGAAGAAAAAAAAAAAAAAAGAACTTGTATACTCAGATAAAAGTATTTTAAAATTGTTCAAAAATAAAATAAATTGTGTAGATTTTAATTTGGCTATACCATAATTAGGGGTAGGGGCAGCTGAGGACGGCTGTAATTCCGAAGTTTTTTTTTTTTTTTTTAATTTTTAAAAAGCATCATTTTAAAATGTAATAGTATTATTAAAGAATGTTTTTAAATTATATGAATTCGTCCCTTAAATTGTAGGTCTTTCTTTTGATCGGCAAAGAAAATTTTCATTAACAGCATGAAATTAAAGGTACTGGAAGACGACATGCTTTGAGAGAGATTCGGAAGTATAAAAATATCCCTACTACTGCTACTCCCTTAAATTGTAGGTCTTAATGTACATTAAATTGTAGGTCTTAATGTACATTTTTTGTTTTTTTTAGTACATACCCATTTAGGCCTCGTTTGGCAACATGCCGGTTTAGTCAAAAAGTCAAAAAGTTACTCAAAAAGTTAAAAAGTTAACACTATTTACCAAAAGTCAACAATTACGGCTGCACAACTCCCAATTCAAATTTTTCCCTACCAATCAATTTTTATAATTTTTTATTACACATTTTTCAATAAAAAGTCAAAAAGTTAACCCAAACATCCATATTTTCAACCTCAATTTTTTAGTCCAAAAAGACAAAAAATACACTTTTTTAATCTTCCCAAACTTGGCCTTAGCAACTGGCACAATTTCTACCACTACATTTATCTCTCTATCACTTCATGCCATATCATATTTCACAAGCTCACCTTATCATTTTTTTTAGATTGAAAACTCACCCCATCATTATTAGGCCTCGTTTGGGAACCCTCATTTTTAGTCAAAAAGTCAAAAAGTTATTCAATTAGCCAAAAAGCCAACAACTCATACCAAAAAGTCAAAGATTCTCTTTTCTCTCTACTTTTTGCACATCTTTTCGTAAAAAACCAAAAAGTCATCCCAAACATACTAGTTTTTTTTACCTCATATTTTAGCCAAATAGCCAAAAAGTTACTAAATTAGCCTGTTCCCAAACGAGGCCTTATTGTGACACAAGAAATTATTTAAAGACCCTGCATGAATTTTTGGAAGGGCTAAAAGCCTTTGTATAAATCCTACAAATGTGGGGGTGTCATGCAAAAAGTGGCAATACCTAAACCCAAGCGAGTAGGATAGCCTTAAAAATCCGTTGACTTTGTGTTCAGCAGTTATGCACAATATAGTAGTGCCTATTGGTTTTTGTGTGGACAAATCTGATATTCAGATTTACACAAGAATACTATCATGAAATTGAGAAAATGGTTTTCATGAGAAAAGAGATTAGCTTAGAAGATGTTAACATGCTAGGACATTAAAGTTCTTTCTAATCTTCTATCTAATCTTCTTAAACCTATATGGTGGCTAGTGAGGCTAAAACCTTCTTTGAAATTGTGATTTCTTTGGATGCAAGTGAATGAAAGTCGATGAGATAAGCTTGTTATCAAAAGATACCGGCAAAGACAAGGCCTAAATTGCGTTGATATGTGATCACCAGTTATGGTGAGTGTGATCGCAATTGTGCGACATCTAGAAATACATCAAGATGGATGTTCAGATAGCTTTCCTATATGAATATTTAGTTGAATAAATCTTTAAGGTTTGAATACTTGAGAAGATATTCCATACTACCAAGTGGATGTTGTATTCTAAGTTTGATATGAAAGATATAGGCCTTGTAGATGTGATTCTGGGTATTAAGATTACTAAAATATCTGATAGTATTGTACTTTCTAAGTCTCATTATGTTGATAAAATACTTGAGGAATTTAGAAAATCGGATACAAGTGTGTCGAGGACACTGGTAGACTTATGTCTACATTTGGCCAAGAATAATAGTGAAAGTGTATTTCAACTAGTATATTCTCGGGTCATTGAAAGTTTAAAGTATCTGATGAGTTGTACAAGGCCAAGTATAGCCTACTTAGGTAGCAGGCTTAGTAGATACACTAGTAATCCCAATAGTGTGCATTGGCATGCTGTTAACCGAATGCTTAGGTACTTGAGGAAAATGATAGACTATGGCATAGTTTATAATGGCTATCCAGTAGTGCTAGAAGGATTCACGGATGCTAGTTGGATAACTGACCGTGAAGATCACTCGTCCACGAGTGGTTGGATTTTTACTCTTGGAGAAGGAGCTATCTCTTGGGGTTCTAAGAAGTAAACGTGCATAACAAACTCAACCCTGGCATCAGAGTTTGTAGCATTGGCTTCTTGTAGGAAAGAGCCAAAGTAGCTAAAGAATCTCTTGTTAGAGATTAAGATATGGCCAAAACCTATGCCACCAATATTTTTGCATTGTGATAATGAAGCAACTCTAACACGGGCCTATAGCCATGTCTATAATGGAAAGTCCAAGCATACAGGACTGAGACATAGATATGTCAGTCAACTAATCACAGAAGGTGTGATTACCATTAGTTATGTAAAGTCAAGTAAAAACTTGGTTGACCCCTTAACAAAGGGACTTGTAAGGGATTTGGTGTGGAAAACATCAAAGGGGATGGATCTTAAGCCCACTTAACATACTCACTCCTGATGAAAACTCGACTCAATGCTTGAAGAAACATTAAGTCTTGAGTTCAATGAGCCCAAGTACACCATATGTCGTGATTGCAAGTACTTAGTTTTATTTCATTTTCATCCCAAGGTTGAAGTGATTGGTACTTGTAATGTGAAAATAAGAGGATGAGTTAGCAAACTCTTAATAAGCTTACAATTGGGTTGTTAGGGTATTGTAAATTATAGGGGTACTCTCAGTAAGCTTACCTATGTGAGTGTAGGAGGTGGTGCCGCTTCTTATGAGTCCAAGGGCTTGACTTTAGAGCGCTCATGAAACAGGATATTGACACAAGGCCAATCTACGTGTCAATTTGTTTGAATACTTAAGGTAACCTGTACTATGCGTGAGACATGTCCGGCTAGTCGTATAAGATTGCTAGTTCAAAGACAAGTCTATTATGCTATCTTGACTAACTTTGAGGTGTCTTACTAAGTGAATGATTCAAATCATAAGATATCTTCACCTATGCATAAGGCTGCTAAGTGAACCAAGAGTCATCATCTAGCATTTTGAAAATGTTGGAGGAATGTTGGGGAATTTTCAAAATTAATTGTCTAGTTTTTGGGTGTTTTCAAAACCTTTCTTATTTTTCTTTGGAAAGCTTGAAATAAGCTTGGGGACTTTGTCCTATATTGGAAAGAGAGGAAAATCAAGAGGGAGAGAGAGAAAGAGAGAATTGCAGGAATGATTTTTGAATTTTTGGATAGATTGAAATGGCTGATTTCGCAGCCTATTTATAGGCCTTCATGCACCTGATCAAATGGTCATGTCCCTTGATCGCATCCGATCAGATCTGACCGTTGGATCGACGATATATGGTACAGATCATTCTTACACCGAATAGATGCATTGACTGATAATACCTGATCACGATCGGGTGCCATCTCATCCGTACGATCACGCACATCTCCAATCAACGGTTATGATCAAACCGCTCCAGATCGGACATGCAACAATTCGATCGATTGATTGGCTCATCGCCAACGGACGCCACATCACTGCCACGTGGAGCTAACTGTATTCCACGTCACCCATGCCACATTGGATCCACGTCATCGCTCCAACCTGTCCGATGCAAAGATAAAATTTTTAATATAATACTCATGTGCACAGCACTTGACAATTTTTCATCCAAATATCTAACACATGACTAACAAAAGGACTTAATGTTCAAATTTAAATAGTTTTGAAGGGGGTAATTGTTGGGTTTAAAACATTAGGAGAGTAAAGTGTAAATGACAGATAGTTTGAGGGGGTTTAATATAATTTGCCCTTTTTTTTATAATTAATTTCATTATTACCACTCGTCTAAATTTTTTTGGCAAGTAATCAACCAGGTGTTAAGTAATATAACTATGACATTTGTTATATCAACACTATAAATGATCATAATTCATGTATAACATACTTCAAAAGAAGAAAAGAAACGTGTATATTGTAAAATGATCCCATTCAAAAGGCATTTTTATGTTGACTTACAAATGATGTTTAGCTTTTAAGACCTTCATGTTTCTCATTGAATCCACAACAATTCTTGTAAGGTCGTTATATTTTTATTTTGTAAATCTTTGAAAAGCTTTTTTCCTTTAACAAACTTCAATATTTTACTTTGTCAACTTATATATTTTTTTTCAATGTCCTTTTGTCACTAATTTTTGTTTGGTTGCTGAGACAATTGATGAAACTAGAAAGACCAGGTGCAAGATTTTTCTCTTTTTTTTTTTCCTCATTTTTATATTTTGTTAACTTTGAATTGTTTTATAAAAAAAATTGTCAAGTAGTTTTACACACCACATGCACACGCTTAAAAATTAAATGAATTTAAAATTATAATTCAACCTGATATTATAGAGTAGATTTTTTTTTTTTTCAAATCTTATATGTATCGAGCTTAATTGGGCCAGTGATGGGTCCATGAGCACCCCTACCCCCAGCATTTAAAGTAAATGACACAGCAAAAGAATCTCTAGAAGTTTCACT